ACAAATTCTGGCAATACTAATCATTGTAAATCATTTTATTCTTAAAGTTGGAAAACATTTTTCTTCCTTGAAACATCTTCCTAATGTTTAATGTTGTCCTCCGCCCCCAACTTCCAGTTTTGGAAAATGCAGCTCATTTCATAGAAGAAAATTTATTTGTGTACGTATATATTACAGTTTTTCTAGTTCAAGAAAATGTGCCTGAACCCTTTAGATGTGTGTGGGTAAAGGAGTCCCTTACAATATCTCCATCTGCTGAGAAAGTTTCCATTTGCACTTTTTGTTGTTGTTGTTATTTGTTTGTTTTTCACAGTTGGAATTGCAGCATTCTTTAAAAGCTTAACCAGGCAAAAGTGTTATATCAGCTATTTTCTGTTCTGAGTACAGACCCTGAGGAAGTAACCTACTATCATTTTTAATAATTTGAAAATTATTTTTTATATTTCTTGCTGAAGTAAAATTTCAATACTGTATAAGTTTAAGGTGTACATCATTTTAAATCCACATCTGTATAGACACTAGTGAGCACATCTCTAAAAGTCCAATTCTATCACTCACTATACAGTTGACTCGTTTTCCCCAACTCACCCAGCCTTCTTTGCTGTTCCCTTCAGTGAAACTAATTGGTGTTATAGTCTCAAAATTTATTTTTGTTTTATTTAGGTTTTTAATTTGTTTATTTACCAAAATAAGTGAGTTCATGTGGTGTATGTCTTTGACTTCAGTAAACATAATGCCCTTTATGACCTTGAAGATAGAATGTCATTGCCCAACTGGAATCAAGTATGCAATTAAGTTGAAAAAGAAGGCTGTTTTTGTCTCTTGCCCCAGTTTTACCATTCCGATGCAGAGGTTGATTTCTCTTTGTATTACTATCATCCTGGGAGATTACTCTTTAGCTTTCTTCATGACCTGGTGGTCATCTGAATAAAACTGGCCTTAGAAAAAAATGCCCCCAGCTTATTTAGGGGCTCCCAACATGTAATCCTCAAGCCTTATATATTTCATCAGACTCTGGAGTGTGCATCACTTAGGATGCTAATATATATTTCTTCTTGATGAGCAAACACACATAAACGATGTGCCAGCAAGGAATTTTTGGGATATTATCAGACAGAGAAAGCTGAGTTTATTTTCCATGAGTATAATAGCATAAAGCTAGTTTAACCTCATTTTTTTAATGTATGAAAAAAATGTTGGTTAGCTTAGCTCCATCACATCCTACATACGGAGAGTGGTACAGTGAAAATTGGTGATTAAATGTATGACATAATATGATAAATTATGTTACGTCCTCATTAATGTTGCTAGGTTCTTGGAAATTTTAACTTTAAGGAAATTGATGTCTCAGGAGACCAGGAACTTGAAAAGTGTCAAATTAGTTCACTGTGGGCCCTAATTCTTTTTCCTCATCAACATTATAATGAAAATATTGAAGGAAACAATATTATTTGAGGACCTGCCGTATATAAAAATTGTGACTTTTTTTAAGGTTTATAACTTTAAGTGATGTGTATTTCACCTTTTAAAAACTAACTTATGGATATATATTGAATAGAATTATCAGTCTGTTTCCTTAGGCCAAAGAAGTGTGAGATTCTGCTCACAGATACCTAAATTGTTGGAACATCTGTAGTGAACAGAACTTATTACTTATCCAAACACACTAAACTAAAATGACAAAACCATCTTCAAATAAGGAAATTAATGATTTGTCCCAGGTGATAATATTCAGTCAGAAATTAAACATATGGATCAAATAGGGAACAACTAGAAACATATTCATTTGCAACTCAATGGAGCCACAGTCCTTTTTAAAAACAACTAATTCACAGCCTGGGGAGGATTTTCCAGTTCTTCAGTGGAAATGAATTCACAATTCAGAAGCAGCTTACAGATTTTGATGAGTATAAGCCATTTTTACATTCTGAAAGCTATGTCATTGTGGTATAAACCTTCAGGACATCCGAGTTCTCAAACTTGCCTTTATAATTTGTGGCTTATTTGGAAGAGACCCTGAATTAAAATTTCTCTGTGGCACTGTTAAGACAACTCATCTTAGAAGATTTGGAGCTAAATAATAGACTGAACTGTTTCAAAATCCAAAATAAATCCCAAAATAATTCTGAAGACTGCAGTCATGGGTCATATTTGGATTTATGTGTGCAAGAAAGTATATTCGTTTTTTGTGAAATTATTGACATTGAAGCCGAGAGTCATTCACTATCTTTGCTTGCTGAATTTGCAGCAAAGCTGAAGTTGGAGTTTGATGTACTCTGCGACAGTTCAGTCTATTAAATTCCATTGTCTATTAAATTCTCATTGATTTGAGTCACAATGATGAGCAAATACTGCCAGGACTAAAATTGTCGATGTCTGCATAAATACAGTGCTTTGGTGATAACTTTTGTATTACTGCTGAATAGCCAAAATTTTGAATAGTTGAAAGGTGCTACTTTACCAGTATTATGGATTAAAAATAACATGACCTGCAAAATATGAAACACTTAATTGTATGGACTCACTATTGTAAGAAATAATTCCTAATTATTGTGATGGTTGTATATTAGTGTACTTAATGCTACTGAAATTTAAACTTAAAAGAATTTTTAAAATGGTACATTTTATGCTATGTATATTTTACTCAATGAAAGAAATGACCTTTGAATGTATAGAGCAAATGGACTCAGCGAACAATTTTGGAATATTTGGTGGTTAATTAAGAGAGAAAAAATATGTAATTCCTTGGCACATTCTGGTTAGTATAGTGATAGCTGAAAAATATATGAACTATAATAACATATTCTCTAATAAAAAGGACCCTCCCTGGAGACACAACTGAGGAGCTGGCTGCAGTCTCTTAGTGCAGGTTCAATCCCTGCCCCAGGGATGACCCACATGGTGCAGCAGACCTCTCCTGTCTCACCTCAGATGCTCCCCTCAGCTGCTCACCCAGCAGTGCTCCCCTTCATTGATCTGCCTGTTCTGCTCCTCACTCTGTCTCTGGTGAATCCTCTCATCACCTCTGCACCTCTGGCCTGTACCCCAGTTCTGCATGCATAAATATATAAATCTTTAAAAAAATAAAAGTAATTATGAAATAAGAGACAAGGGAATAAAGTTTCAGGGAAATGAAGGGAATAAAATATGAGTGGAAAATTATGAGAAGGTTAATGAGGGCTGTGAATGCAGGCTAGGAAGTTGTTTCCATGGGTATACGCGAAGAACTATCACCACACAATTGAGGGGGTGATCACAATGGTTTCTGCGTGTAGCAGTGACAAACTGGAAAGTGAAGAGTCTGAACAAAAGGGACCATGTGATAAGGTAGTTGGAGGATGATTTATCAATAAGAACAGATGAAATATGGTAGTGAAATTGTTTGTAAATAAACGCTTGGTCACTTTTCAGGGGAATGGAAGCCTAAGCTTATGAAGTTTTATACTATCTAATGAAGTAAGAAGTGAAAACTTAAGTTACATTCTGCAATACCTAGTTTTTAACATTTCTATTCCTTTTAACCATTTTGTTTCCTGGAAGCAATTCATGTTAAAAAACATTTGTGATTTTTTTTAAGATTTACTTATTTGTGCATACAGAACTGGGGTACAGGCCAGAAGAGCAGGGGTGGTGAGAGGATTCACCAGAGACAGAGTGGGGAGCAGAACAGGCCGAATGACAAGGCACGCTGCTGAGGGGAGCAGCAGGTGGGCCAGGAAAGGTCTGCCGTGCCATGTGGTCACCTCCGGGGCAGGCGGGAATCGAACTCATGCGGAAGTGGCTTCAGCTTCTCAGTGCAATGCTTTAACCCACTGTGCCACCAGGAAGGGCCCAATATTCTTATTTTCTTTCTATCAAGAAAGGGATTCTATCTATCAAGATGAGCCCACACACAGTGATTTGCCTTAGATCCTGGGCCCATGCAGTGTGCCCAGGGCAGTGTGGTTGTCCTTTAGATGGCAAACACCTTTTGGTTAAACCAGGTTGAATCCGACTTCAGCTACCATTGAAAGAGAGATGGAAAAGGACATTAAAGTGCCTTCTGTGGATTCTATTGCATACTAGCCTTTTCTTGTTTATTTCCCATAATAGCCCAGTGAAATAGAGGAAATTTTACCATGTGTAATTGACTTTCTGAAAATTTGAGTGACTTTCTTCAGGTCACACTGCTGGTGAGTTGGAATTCCATCCTCAGTTGCTCTGGCTCTCAAGTCCCTGCTCTTTCTACTGCACTATGCTGTCTCCTTCAAGAGCTCAGACAGATTTGCAACGAGGCTGCTGGTAGTTTTTAGTAAAACAGCATCGAACAGCACCTGCTAGACTGTAATTATGGCAGATTGAGAAAGCTAAGCCTCTCATGCTTGGAACTGATCTTTGTCGAAGAAGTGAACCCTAACAGTTTGGAGGTTACACCATCACAGATGTTGCCCCAGCATTCTATATAGCTACACACTCTGAGCATAACTCCAGCTTTCAAATGCTTATCACAGGCTTCTTGTTGAAGGAATGCAGTGGACTTTATTCTGTCACAATTACCAGCATCCATACAGCAAATCCTCTGTGATCACGGCCCCCCATGGCCTCAGAATATGAAGTGGGGATCCTCCAAATAGAGGTTCTCCTTCATAGTACTTCTGCTAGTCTGTAATTACACATTCACTAACATGCTCATTAATGTCCACCACTAGCTTGCAAAGCTCCATGAATGTGGAATTAGTATCTGTTTTCTGTACCCCAAACACTTAGAATGTGCTGAATAAGCATTTGTTGAATGAATGGTACTGATCAACGAATCACGTGATGAGTATTTTTCCCTATTCATCTGGCCATGAAGGAAACATGCAGAGACTGTATGTGCCATGGTTAAATGGGCCTATTTTGGAGGGCCATCTAAATTGTCTGCCAGAGGCTAGGTGATAGAAAAGTGTTGACTCTTGTTCTGCTGTTCTGGACTGCACAAGGCATAAGCATCTCTAAAAGCAGAGGAAAACTCAGCTTACCTCTTTCTGGTGGTATTTGATTGCTACTTTCAGCTTGGCCAGGTCATGATATTTCTGAGGATCCAGCTCTTCACTGTGGTCATCTCTGTGATTGAGGATGATCTCCAGTTCCCGGGAGCTTCGAGCTTGGTCCAGCAGGTCTTTGGCAAAGAGTTTGCACTGCTGGGAAAGCTCCTCATACTCAGCCTTGAACTCATTTTCCACTTTGCTTAGCTCCTTGAGCTCCCAGCCCAGGCGGAAGGCAGTTAAGATGGGGTCCTCACTTGATAAGGCAATGAGTGAGGGGCTTGCTAGAGCTTTATAAATATTCAGCCGGGAGCGGGAGTGACGCAAGCTGTCTACCTCTGAACTAGACACACACTCCACACAGTTGCAGCGGATCTGATGGGGCCTTGGGATAGTGACCCGTTTTTGCACAAGCAATTTGATGATTTCGTAGTTGTTGGTGTGGGCGGCCAACATAATGGGAGTGATGTCTGGTGTGAACTCGGAGAACTGGGTGTCCATCATCAGAGTGGGGACCTAGGTATAAGCAAATGAAAAAAATACAAGTGGGCAGGATTAAGTCTTAGAAAAAGGAACATAGAGCCCATTGGATGTTGATGATCCTGGAATTGGAGTCACTGTCTTTTTGTCAGTTCTATTTAACACAATAACACTTAATAGAATGGTTACTGTATGCCTAGTGTACAGAACTTTAACATATATTTACTCATTTAATCCCCACAACAATCTTGGGAGGTAAATATTCTTCCCAAATGAAGACTCTGAGGCACACAGAGGTTAAAGCACATCATGTTTACACAGCTTTTAGAGCAAAGCCTAACATCAAACCCAGGCAATGGGAATAAAGAGTTTGGCTGTTAAATTATACAACCACAAAATGTCCGATTCTGTCTGAGGCCCCATAAGGGATACAGAGATGTAAAGGGTGTTTTTCCTGACTTTCTAGAGCTTAGTTGGGCAGATCAGACAATAAAATAGACAAGTAGGAATACACAGTAGTATGTATTCTGTTTCACCAAGTAGAGACTCAGGAATAGTTTTTGAAAGGCTAACCACAACCAGTAATCTTAAAGATCATGCCACTCAATCAAGCCCTGGAGACTAATGGTTGCACTGACTTTGTATATCAATGCACATCAGGGGACCAAATGCCGTGGCTAGACAAAGGCCATTTACAGTGTTCGGAACAGATGAATGAGAGCCTGTTTGTCCCAGCAAGGAAGAGAGAATCTGGTATTACCAGAAACCAGTGCTCTCTATATAAATGAGGACATTTAGGCTTGCAAGAGGTGTTACCTGAAACAAGGACCTTTGCTAAAATTGCTATGTCGCCACTGGAATGCTTGGTGCAAATAGCAGCTAGAGGCCAACACTTTGGGGTTCTTTTGGTATTCAGGAACATCTCTGTATGAGTATGCAAAACCTGATCAATGAATAAAAAAAATCTCTAAATATGTTTTGGGATCCAGTTTATTCTCAGTCTAATAGGGAAAGTTAGCTCAGTAGACCCACAGAAGTAGGTACCAGAGCTGGAGAATGAGAACTGGAATAGAGGAGTGTTTATGGATGGGTGGAACTGAGTACTCAAAGTATGGATTCCAAGAAATTGTGAAATATTGATCTTAATGCCCTTTTAGAAAGATGGTTCCAAATATTTTACCCTGGGACAGATAACTGAGATTCCCACAGAATAGACAAATACTCTTTTAAACAAGTTTCTTTTTAATCTTAAATTTTTAAATTGTAACTCAGGGTTGCTGGCAAAATGACAAGAGGGTGATAGTTTCGCATCTTTGCTTCCTTTCCATCTTGAATGAAGGGTTTCCAAATAGGAAAATGGCCCTGAAACAGGCAATGGGAGAGAGGCAGAGTGAAGGGTGGGGGAGGAGTTTGCATGAAGTTTGTTTCCTTCATGGAACGGTTACACAGGCCCCTGAAAAGTTGAGATCTGGATGCATATTGACCATCAATTGCTTGGAGGGGTCAGGGAATAAACACTGTTACACATATAAAGCGAGCTGCTTCAAACAAGACCGCAGGAGTGAGCAACTGGCTCATAAAGTAAGTTGGACACAGGTTAAGAATGATTTCAGAAATTAACATAAGCCTAAGGCTAAGGAAGAAATAGGCCTAAGTGGGCCTAGAAATGAACATAAACAACAGCCTGCATGAAGAGTAGAGCTGGGAGAGATGGTCAGCGAGCAGTGTGTTACACTATGCCCAGAAGAAAGCGGCTCACATCTGGGACTCTTAAACTTTCTCGGTGGGCGGGGCCATTTCTCAAGCTCTGTCTTCATCTAGAAGTCGGAGGTGGGAGGAAGGAAAGATGGCCAGTTACCCAGCATTCCCTGGGTCAGGAAGGAGAAATGTATCTGCTCCCTGCTAAAGTCCTCTCCTTTTTTCCACTTCTTGTTCATTCTTTTCCCCCTCTTTATTTCTATGTTAATAAAATAAACCTACCATACCTACCCAAGGTACACAGTGGTACTTATAAATATTGCCTACCAATTGTGTTATGGAGATGAAAGATTACTGTTCTATGCCTAGACATGAAATTCTTTCTGGAGCCATCTGATTTCTGTTGTCATTGCTTCTGTGCTGAATAAGGAGCCTTCTTATCTTCCATTTGACTTTCTGGGTACATGACACCAGAGAGGAAATCTTTTCAAAAGAAACTGGGCTGTTGTGAACAACCTCTTCTTCTCATCTAGATTCCCTGTTGTCTTCCAGTTAACCTTATAATAACACAGATTGTTACAGCCAACCCATTCATTGCTCTTTTGTGCATATCCTTGTGGAATCCCCAGTATGGAAAGGTCTTCCTACATTTCTGCCAGTCAAGAGCCATTGCAAGCCATGGCTTCTTCATTATCTCTTCCTACTTTGATACTGCCACAACTGTCCCAGATGTTGTGGGCATAGGTTACATCCAAGATCTCACTTTTCTGATAATGCCTTATATTGTTTTCTAATTATTTTCCATATATGTATATTCTTGTGTCCCCAATATGGTTATGAGCTCTTTGAAGATCATAGTTTGTTCTTATTTTTTCCCATAGTATCTAACACAGTGCTAGACATACAGCCAACAAACAAACAAACAAACAAACAAACAAACAAGCAAACAACTACATTTCCTAATCTCAAAATAAGAAATTGATGGCCAGGCCCTCCCTGGTGGCCCATGGGTTAAAGCACAGCACTATGAAGCTCTCCAAGGTCACTGCAGCATGAGTTTGAGCCGCGGCCAGGGAGGTGACCCGCATGGTGAGGCAGACCTCTCCTGACCTGCCTACTTCTCCCCTCAGCAGTTATTTCAGTCAATCTGCCTGTTCTGCTCCCCACTCTGTCTCTGCTGAAACCTCTCACCCCCTGCACCTATGGTCTGTACCCCGGTTGTTATATGCATAAATAAATCTTTAAAAAAATTGATGGTCCTTTATAATCTTGGCTCCCATAATTTGAGTCAAGGTTAATTAGTTTCCATGGTTCTTTATTCCATGTCTAGCTGAGTAGGTAGACAGTCTAAGTCTCTCAGGAGGGTTAGCACAGAAGCTCTCTAGGGAAATACCCTGGGATCACAAAAACCTAGGACAGCCCCTGCCTGTATTTTCACCATCCTATTGCTCCACAATGTAGACTTTTTCTCCCAGGCTGTAGATGTATCCTCATCTTTCTCCTTCTACTTCCTCTTTTTGCCTTCCTCATGTTTTTTTTTTTTTTCTCCCTTTTCTAGACTGTACAGAGACAAAGAACTTTTAGGATGATGATAGTAAAGAACAAATTTTATAGGGAATATGAGAAGTTTCTGATAATAATTCAGACTTTATGATATGTATGTTCTACAATAGGGGCCAGAACAGGTAGTAGGAACAGGAATGAAGCCTTGGCATAGGTGTATATGCATGATTTGTTGAGTGAATGCTAGAACTGGTGAACTGTAGTACATATACCCTCTCAAAGAGGGCATCTGTTACTCATATTCTTGCTATAAAATCGTTATAAGCATGAATGAGGGCCTACTGTTGTGATTTTTTTAAAAAAGATTTATTTATGCATACATAACAGGGGTACAGGCCAGAGGTGCAAGGTGGTGAGAGGATTCACCAGAAACAGAGGGGGGAGCAAAATAGGTGAATTGACTGAAATACACTGCTGAAGGAGCAGTGGACAAGGTAGGAGAGGTCTGCCATGCCATGTGGGTCACTTCCCTGGCTGGGGATTGAGCTCATGCTAAGGTGGCTGTGACTAACTTCACAGTACTGAACTTTAACCTGTTGCACCACCAGGAAGGGCCCTGTTGTGATTTTTTCAAAAGAAGGCAGGAATGCAGATTTGGGGGCAAAAATCTGTTAAGTTGTAAATGTTGGCCCCCCCAAAAGTAAAGACAGTGTATGGATCAATATATACATAAGAATGTATATATTTATACGATATCAATATATAATAGCCATCTATCTATCTATCTATTATGCCATATAGGTGTGTTTGTGTGTGTGTGTGGGGGAGAATAGGCTCAAATGAGCCAGTTCATCATCTTTGTACAACCACATAAGTTTTGAGACTATGGAGGGGTGGGAGAAGAAGCTGGACATTTATGTATGGGCTACATGATAAAAGACTTTATATACCATGTTGAGAAGTTAATGTTACTGTTGGCCATGGGAAGCCACTGAAGCCTCTGAATCATCACAGTGTGTAGCTGAGCAAGTGTTTTACAAAGGTTGGTGTGGGTAGTGGGTAAATGTATTGCTAAATGTTTAACAAGCAGCTGTCCAGAAAAAGAAATCATGATTACTAGCTTTTACCAATCTCTGTGGCAGAAACACGCCTTTGGTGGTCAGTTTCAAGCTACCATTATGACATCACAGAACCAGAGCTGGGCGGAGCTACATACAGCCAGTCCTTAACAACTGCGATAAACCAGCTAGCCCTCTTCACCATTGGATCCAGTTTCAGAAAGGTAAGACTAGTTAAAAGATGTTGTTTGTTCTGTTAAAGATATGGTAAGACCTTGAACTAGACAGTGATGCTAGAGATAGACAGGAAAGAACAGATTTAACATTTTCTTTGGATATGCCAGGGAGTACTAGAGGGAGAAGAAATGAAGAATGTCAGGTTTTTGAATCACATGCCCGGTTGAATGGTGCTATCACCAATTGAGAAAATGAATACAGAGGGAAGAATAGATTTAGGCTTTAAAGTTTTATTTTGTACATGTTGAGTTTAAAGTACCTGTGGGGGACAGTAGCAGGAAATTGTGTTATTCTAGTGTGAATCCGGAAGAAAGGTCAGGGCTGAAAAATGTAGATGTGAGAATCTTCAACCTTCTGAGATGAAGGCAGTGAGTGGGGTCAGCATATGCCTGCCCAAGCTCCCCCAGTTGGGTCCACTTATCTACAGCTAGTACTCAGGCCTGCCTCAGTTTTTAGAGCACGCGTCCAAATTCCAGTTACTGGTAAAGTGCAACAGGGCACTCTCCTTGTTCTGTTTGGTTTTTAAATATTTATTTATTT